ACCTCTGCCACTTCCAGTAATAACAATAATTATTTTAAACCTGTCTCTTATACACATCTAGATGTGTATAAGAGACAGGATTAGAACGGTACGGTATTATTGATATGCGGTTGGCGAGGAAACAATGTTTTCGTTCTATTATTCAATTTAAGCTAAAAGTAAAACCAAACAAAAATTGACAATTCAAAATATCTGTATTAAACCATAATAAACTAGAAATATAAGTAATTGTTTCGTATTGTGATAGTTTTGTTTATCTGTTGAACCATACCACATTAAAAAAAAACGTCTTTCTTTACCAAACGCTTCGATCGCGATCGGCGGTCCTTTTTAAGTGAACCGGTGATGTCACTGCCGTCGGTCTGTAAGTTGTCTTCCCGTCAATTGATAAAGATCGTCCTTATCATAATAAAAAATAATATCGTTGAAAATTTCAAGTATTAGAATACGTTTTTTTTTTGTCCAACAAGAAAGAATATTTTCATATGTTTTTCGATCTAGGAACAGATGAATTTCTTCTCTGATACCTAAAAAAAATATCCCAAAAATACGCCTGCCGGAAGTCGGCCTCTAGTAAGTTAATTACAATAATATTAAAGTGTGTTTCGATATTTTAGGACTCTCCTTTAAATCTCGTAAACACCACTATTTTCCTCTCAAAAACTGCACCCTCTTAGCCTCATTGAGACTTATCACATTGTTAGGCCCAAATGAGTGCCACTGTTTAATGAAAATGAATGCAAATAATAATTAACAACTTTATCTGTGTTTGTGTGACAGAAAGGTGACTGGGTTTGTGCAAAACCATCAACTACTCAACCGGAAAATGTAAACAAACACATCACCGATAAACTGCAGGTAAATTATGATAGGCCTATGTATTATTGTGGGGGGGGGGGGGTGGTTTCTGAATCTGTTTCAGTACATCGATAGGCATATGATTACGTCATATTTTGTTTTCGTTATCGATGTTTATACATGTTATGTTTCACACTTCAACTGGGAACAACTGCGTCGGCCGACGAGTCGATCGACGGTCACCTTAAGTCCGTAGGTCAAATCCATCTCCGTTAATGTGTGCGCTTGACGGCGCGAAGACGTCTGTTGGTAGTTTGGCATCCCATACTCAATGGATCGTCATTAAATGTGATTGGCTGATACGCGTACCTCGTCTCGCTTCGTGTTCCGTAATACCGGGTCGGGGTCGGCCAACGACCGTGCCCGCAGTATGTGCCCGGCCGGCTTTCCAAACGAATTCACGATTCAGAGCGCACTGCAGACGATGCTGCCTAACCCCATTAACTTTCGAAATCTGATACTCCTGTTTTGCGCAGAGTTATTCTATTAAATATTTGCAGTATATTATTGATGTTAACATCAATTTATCCGAATATGCATTTTGTAATGTGATATCCGTTTTTCTACTTACGAATATGATTGATGATTCTCGTAAAAGTCATATAAGCTGTGACCATAAGGTATAGCATATGAATGGAAGATGAGTTCAGCATATCTAAAATTAAATATGGGAATGTGCTGAAAAATCTGAAATTGATGACAGGGACGATCTCCACAAAAAAATTATGATATTGATAATGGAGGTGGGCTGAAAACTAAAACTGATTACAAGCATAAACTCAACAAATTCAAAATTAGTAAAGGGGTAAATCTAAAAAATTCTACAATTGATAACGTAACCGTATTTTTTATCGTTTAATTTGTTTAAGACTGCAAAACCATAGGCCTATACCTATAACTTAACCGTGCCTGGAAATAATAATAAGAAATTATCATTGTTATTTTAATTTCTGTTATATCAGCATTTGTTGTAATTATTTTTTTTGTCGGATTGATAAGATACTACAGCAGGCATATGAAAATACCAAAGACCAATGGAGAGCATTTGGATACAAAAAAGCCATTAATGCCCTTAAGAAGCACCCAACTAAAGTGACGTCATGGGAGGTGAGTTACTGTATCCTTTTATTCCTTATCATTATCATCATCATCTGTCATCATATTCATCGTCCATTCCAACCCTGTCTTCGTCATTGCCATTATCACTATCTTTTTTTTTCTTTTTCATGCATAACCAAGATCTTATGAACACAAGATCTCCGCGATTTTCGCGTGCAAATTCGGTAATAACGAAGTGTACGGCACCCTCTTGCAAAACTGAAAACTTTTGAACTTTGACTGCTCTGACCTTAGCGTACGCCGCGCGACTTTACGTTTTACAATGTGCCCTCTCTTTAGAACATAAGGAACAAATTAAAGTACTCATTAACGAACTTCGGCGTAACGCGAACACCCTATCTCAGATCCATGGCAACGACTAGGACGCCCTCTCCCAAAACTGATTACTTTTCTGTGCCAAATCGACGCTTCTATTTGTTACGCGTATAATCGCGGAGAACGCCATCTTGTGTTTATAAGATCTTTGATGCATAGGCAGTATAATATGATAATCAACATTGCCCTTTCCATACTTTCACCATCATCATCTGTATCACTGTCATCCTGTGTATCACCGTAATCATGACCATCATCCTAATGACATCATTTTAATTATCATTGTCATCATTATCATCGCCTATATATGCATTGTAATATGATAGGAAAAAAGCCTAATGTAATTTGAGTTTTAAACGTAAGCACACATTAGAATATTATTACTGTCTTATCATTGTTATTATTATCATTGATATTATTATCATCATTATTATCATGAAAATATTAACTATAATCACTGTCATGATTTAATCTCATAAATGTATTTTAGGAAGCAAATCGTATACCAGGTGTCGGATCAAAGCTTGCCGACAAGATAATCGAAATAGTTGAAAGTGGTCACCTACGAAAAATAGATCATGTTTGTAAAGGAGAGGAGATGGAAGCATTGAACAAATTCAATAATATCTGGGGTGTAGGACCGACAACAGCTCAAGGATGGGTGCAACAGGTAATGCAAAGGAACATACATACATATACATATATATATATATACACACACACATATATATATACACACACACATATATATATATACACACAC